TCTGACACTGGTTTAGTAGTGATTGATATTCTGTCAGGTACAATATGTTTTGTTTAATGGTCGAGAGCGAAACATTAAGTAATATATTGATAATGCACAAGGCGTAAGCCGAGTGTTGTTTCAATATATTATGCAATGTCTTTAGCTTGAGACCATTATTATTAAACAACTTAAAATACAGAAATATATCACACAAGTTCAATATTTCATCTAGTATAGATAATGTACGATTGGCAAGTTGCCCGTACATTATTGGAAATAATGGTATGCCAACTTCAAAGAATGATGTTACATCTGTGTTTTAAATATTTTTATTTCCAGTCCTGCTTGTTAGATAAATCATTTTTACATTTATGTGAATGTTAAAGATGCATTATGTTAGAAGTGAATCGATATCTATATAACATTTGAAGCTAGAAAAAAAAAATTGGAAGACAGATTTTGTTCTTGCATAATGCATCTATTATTTCTGTTGATAATAATTGTTAATCACCAAGGTCAAACCACAGCTAGTTAGTTTTAAAATGCTCATATATATACATAGATAAAAATAATTATGCTCATTCTAATATGTAGATAGATGTTAAAGTTTCTCATTTTTAAATTTTATAAATGTTGATCTGATTCTATTTTAAAATGCCTTTTGAATTATATAATCATTTCATTGAATTTTTAAAGAAATTTAATTGCATGACATATTATTTATCTAAACTAATTAATTAAAGATTTTAATATTTAAATATGAATAAAACTATTTGGAAATTTAAATGCCTTTTGAATTATATGATCATTTTATTGAATTTTTAAAAAGAAATTTAATCGAATGACATATTATTTATCTAAACCAATTAATTAAAGATTTTAATATTCAAATACCAATAAAACTATTTCAGATAGTTATTTGTAGATTATTATAATGTTATGCCTTTTTTTTTGAAACAACATTCCATAAGTGCCCCATAAATTATAGATATTATTAACCTAATTAATGACCTCTAATTAGTTAGTTAATTAAATGTATTGTTTGTCCTGTTAGAAGATCTCAGTAAAGACCTTTTGTAAATTATGCTCTAATTTATTATCATACCCATTATATAGAATCTGAATAACAAACTATATTAAATTCTATATCTTAGAAAATATTGAATTCCATATTTTAGAAGAATTATATCTGTATTGAAATTCCACTTTGGTGTTTTTTTAAAGTGTATCTCTAGTTTTGTTCAAATTGTTCTGTAACCAAATACTGTATACTATCTTCATTCCATTTAGAATAAATTTTCAATAATTATAAACTATGACTCTTGTTGTTTATTTCATTAGGGGGTTGGATGGCCAAATGGTTAGCACGTGTGCGCTGTATCATAAGGTCTGTCATTGAGTCAACTGGCCCGGTTGTACTGAAAAGGAGTAGGGTCGCCTGTCCAACCTCATGGGTTTTCTCTGGTTTCCTCCCACTGCTAAAGACCCCTATGCACAAGCGAATTATTGAAATAAAATTAAACCATTTGTGTCAGTGAACTTTAACCTCTCTCTCTCTCTCTCTCTGATTTCATTTAGATAATGTAACAGTATCCTTCAGATTATTTCAATAATTCGCTAGGCTTTAATCTTGTTTGGTCATGGGAGCCACGGTGGCTCAGTGGGTAAGACCTGGGTTGCAAAACATAAGATTTAGAGTTTGTTTCCAGTGTTTGTCTAGAAATTTTTCTCTGGATTTTCAGACCTGGGTAAGCAATCTGAAAAATATCAACTGTTACTTTATCCCCGGAAGCAGAGTCATCCTGGTAAGGGAGTCCGTGCCATACTCATTGAACCACAGTGGCTAATAATAATGTACTTACAAATTATAATCGGAACCCTTAAATTCTTCAGTAACTCCTGGATATGAACTAGAATGTCCTGAGTTCGTTTGCTTAGCCAAACATAACCGGAGGGCTTCAAAAACGACAAGAGATGGGAACATACCTTCTGGATTTTTTCATTTCGCTTCGAGATGCTATTAGTATTATTTATTGTAACGTTCACCACATCCTTGTAGCATTGCTCCCTTATGGTAACGTTTACTTGATCCATGTACCATCCCTTATGGTAACGTTTACTGGATCCCTGTACCACCCCCTATGGCATCGTTTATCAGATACCAATAGCATTGCTTATTGTAACGTCTACCACACCCCTGAAGCATTCCTCATTGTAACGTCACCACATCCCCGTAGCATTGCTTATTGTAATATCTACCACATCCCTGTAGCATAGCGTACTGTAAGGTCTAACTCCCACTCCCGTAGCATCGCTTATTAATATTATAACGTTTACCACATCCCTGTAGCATTGCTTACTGTAACGTCTACCACATCCCCGTAGTATTGCTATGGCGTCACTGTATGTATTGTATCCCACCACCCTCACAATTACCGGGGTTATCAGATCCACATAACAATGATCAGATCCCCGAACCGTCATTGGTAATGGTAACTTTTACCAGATCCCTGAATCATCATTGGTAATGGTAGATTTTACCGGATCCCCGAGTCAATGATGACCACAACGTTCATCCGGTCCCCAGGCTTGTCTTACTCATTCTACGTCACAATTTGGTATTCGTGTGTGGAATTTACATAGCATTACCAAACATTTTTGGTTTTATAAATTCAAGATTTGCTCAGTATACAGAACAATCTAAAACACAAAGAATTCATTAAAGATCAATTTATTTCAAACATGACTACATTTAGAATAATAATAATTATAATAATAATAATAATAATAATCTTTGGTATAAAGAAAATAAACAGAACATTTCTTTTGTCACACGACTTTAATGTTTCCAATTTGGGGCTAACGAAATGGCCAGATAATAAGCATACACGGTGATGTTGCTTTAAATGACATAAAAACTACAGTAGGGTGTCATTTTAACACATAATTCCATTTGCATTCACCCTGTCCCGCGAAATCTACTGGGACTTTCTCATTATAGATGTTGTTAGATCTTACTGTAGTGTAAATATGGACGACATAATAAGGAATAAAAAAAATCATAAGTCGGGTGTGCTTTTAATTAGCCAGGGCCATTAAACTATGTTATAAGACATAATTCTCGTATTAATTTCAAGATTTCCGACTTTATTGCCATTAATGGCCTATTATCTTACCCCTACACACAGGTTATTTCGATATTAATAAATGTATTTTTTAGTTTTTCTTTGATTCAGATAACGTTTAAAGATACACGATGTAAGAAATAAATCTGGCTTATTTCAGGACTTTATTCTAGCTTCAAATGTTATTTATAAATTATCATTTAGACATGTATTAACATGAAAAGACGATAACCAACTATCTGGGCCATCCGATGGCTCAGAAATTGAAGGAATTAGAACTATATTTAATAATTTAACGATAATATGGATAATCTAGAATTTTGTTTATTATCGTAGCAAGTTTTACTTGACAATCGAGACTATCTTGTCAAAACTTCAAACATTCATAAATTCGCTCAGAATAAAGTAATTTTCCATTATCTATTTTTAAACTATTATAGCAAGAACGTGTCAGCTCTTTATCTAAATCTTACATAATGTATCTTTAATATTGCAGCTTATTTACATTTCAGGAAAATCACCATCAAATAATTCCTAGTGATTTATGATACAGTCGTCTGTAATTCCTAAAGATATCTCGTGTAAACATAAAGCCGGGCTAAATAAATAAAAGACATATTCTGATCCCCGGTTGATCTAAAACAACACTGTAACCCACGCAATTCTACCCTCGAGAAAAACCAATTCTGTATCAGCGATTGTTCACTGTCGACGAACAATCGTCCTCCTGGAGGAAAGCGCGACAAATCAACGGCGACCACCAAGATAAAATTCAAAGATAAATCTAATGAGTCTTGTACTCGACACATGCCAAAAATTAAATAAGAATCGTTCTTTAGACATTGGTGTGGGCCTAATTGTCTGAAAAAAATAAATAATGAATCGTGTACTTTGATAAATCGCCCGCAAAAAAGATCCGATAAAAAAAATCGGATTAACTTCCAAAAATGATCGCCTGTGTGTGCTGGGTTTACAAACAAGAAAATAACTCACAAGCCTATGACAAATATTAAAAAATTCGACAACATACTGTACGTGGGCCTAATCTTGTCCACAATCGCATCCCTTAACATGCGTCATAACTTCATATATCGTATCCCTCAACATGCGTCATAACGTCATATATCGTGCTGGCTGTTTGGGTAACAGACATTATTTTCAAGTTTTAAGTGGAAAGAATGGCATTTCCTCACAAAGAAAAGTCCTTTCTTACTGATGAAAATTGGATGTAATTCCCAACAGTCTTTAATCAATGACAAACTTTAATCTCCCGTCATTAATTTTTCTTAAACAATCCCCAATCGGTCTTATTCTACTATAAACTTAGCTCCATCCAAGATGTTTCCCTGCACAGTTTTTTTATAAGCTGTTATTCTTTACTCCGATTTAATTAAATCCCCTGGGTAATAAACATCAGTTACACACTCTGTAAGATTGTAATTTCAGTTAGATCTCCTTATAACGTTTCCATGCAGCCTGGGCACATTATGACGTTCCTTTAAGACAATCCCCTTTTTCATTATCCCGGTTGGTGCAGAAAAGCCGGGCATCAAACCCCATTTCACGTAAAGTTACATCACTCAGTCAATCGCGCTGATTCAAATATGAGTTACACCTCTTGTATAAATGAGTCTGCGATATCACCATTGGTGGAAGTGGGCACTAACTCCCAGTCAACAACAGTAACCATTCCCAAAAAGCTTCGTCCCACAGCATGTACAACAATCTGTCGCGTTATTTCAAATTGGGAGTGGTACCCCTTTCACGAATTTCTCTGAGATATCATCTCATGTGGACGCGGACATTAATCCCCTGTCAGCAGCAACAACCTTTCACAAAAAGCTTCGTCCAACAGTAAAGTTTCGTTAATGAAAAGGGGTCATTTTGACGTTACATCAGTCAATCGTGATAATGTTAATTGCAGTTATACCCCAAGCAAAAAGACCCCTTTACAAGTTAATACTATCACAAACACACAGTCAGTTCTTATTTACAAATCATGGGTCATCTTCCGATAAGATACACGCCTTGAAAAATCCAATCCAAATCACGTGGCACATTGTTCGGCTGATTTCGCTATCAAATTAAAAGATGTCACTCAAAGCAGAAACCAAATCAACCATTGTCCGCCATAAACAGGACTATTCTCTCTTGTATAGTGAAATATTGGCAACTCAAAATGTTCTGCTAATCAAAATATCTATTATTAAGCAACGTTACAAACGAAAAGCTTAAATTTTCCATGGAGTTCGTTATTCATATCCCCCAAACAGAACACTTACGCCTCCCATCTTCGCAGCGGTACTGCTTACTTCATTTCACTCAACCAAAAATCAACGCCAATCGCATCGTCCCAATCCAGGATACCCGCTAAAAATACACACGATAGCTCATCACCACCTTCACAAATAATATTACAATAGTTCTTGGTAAGGTTTAGAGACAAATTATTCAAACAAAAAATATGTTCTTAAATAAAACACCAAGGAAATACTGGATAATCGGTGCGGGATCTATACCCGGATGTATGTAATTCACGATCTCAAGTCGAAGTTGGATCGGATCCGTTTAAGTTGTTGAAATTGACATCCCAATTATCAGCGTGAGAAGCTCCAGTAAAAGTGGCGATGGCGCCAAACTGACCAACGATGTTCTTCAATAGTTCGGGGGTGTGGCCACCAAATCTATCCTGTCCATAGCCGGTTAGTGAAAAGAGTCTTCGGATAATGGGTTTTGTCATGGATCCATTGTCTGGCAGTAGAACACGTGTCTTGGAAAGATGGTTGAACGATACCTGAAAATATATAAACGAACAACGTCAATATAACATGATTCTGTAATCATATGCCATGTAGTGTATTAAGAGTACAATTTTGCCTGGACAGTGGCGCTACAGCCTACACTTCACACTTAATCTAAATTTATATAAAACGTTTAGATATGTCAGCTATTAGGGCGGACCATTACCATATTTGAGTAAACAGATTATGACGCCATTGGCCGAATTTAATCTGCAAGGCACCGTATTGTCACACAGTTGTAGCTAACGACTTCAATCCATTAAACAGAAGCACAATTTAGAGAATCTAAATAACCTCTATAGTACATGTATATATAAAGTCCAGCCAATGGTACACACGTTGCCCTCCGTTTTTCATCATTTCTGATGGACTAGACACTTTTCATTGTCTTTCCCCCCCCCCCCCCCACGCCCTTCCTGCAGTACCACAGGCTAGAAAATCCCTCGGAACTTTCTGGGGTCCTCCTCGCCGAGTCGTCGTGGCTCACGAAGAATGGTGTTATAAACGGATTTCCGGTGTATATAGGTATTGGCTGGGTAATGCAGGGGAAAACGAAAACGTGTGTAACACGAAAAGCGGTGTTTTAACGCGTGTATCGCTTGGACCATGAAAAGGTAAACGTTTTAACATGAGAACAAAATATGAAGCTCCAATTCGGAACGCAATGTATAACACAGAAATTAACCCGTGGAGCTGATATAAGAAGAAAAAAACCCCAAAAAAAACCCAATACACAAATGTTCAACTTTCTATGCGCGTAGGCGCAATTTATCACAAAGAGCAGAAGAACGCGTTACGTAACTAAATACAAAACCACACTAATGGATTACAACATTTATCTAGATTAAATTTATTGACTTAGTTGATAAAAAGATAACCGTGAAATATCAAATAAAAGTTTATTTTTAGACAATTTCAAAGTGACAGGTCATTTTAAAAATCTTAATGTCTCAAATATATCAGATCCTGTCTTACAAACACTGACACGGTGGAAAGAGAGAGAGAGAAATGGGGTTTAACGTCCACTCGAAACAAACCAGGTCATTTCGGGACTAACATATGGTTAATTTACATTTTAATAATTCGCTGGCACGTTGGGATATTTAGCAGTGGGAGGAAACCAGAGGATCTGGAGAAAACCCACAAGATTGGATAGACCACTCGACCACCTACCCCCCAGCCAACATAAAATATACAGCCATGCACCTAAAGAACGTCTACCAGTTTGAGAGAGAGAGTCCCCTAGGCTGGTTAGGCGATCGGACGCCACGTCTTACATAACGCACATGCACGAGAACGATACCACGCCCAACTATATTCAATGAGAGCCCCTTTTTTTGTTTTGTTTTTCGCTGATCTCTGTTTAACGAGGTTAAACATGTTGCATAAAGACTGTCATTACGATATTATCTATGGACATTTATATATTAACGCTATAAATAGATTCGATTAAAATCTGTTTTATCATCTTATTTCTACTAATAGCTTTTATTATGGATCAGGGCCATTTCACGCGCGGGGATTTGGGTGGACGCGAGGTCCAACTAGTGCGCTTTAAATAACGGTATGTCGTCATAGAGTCAGAACCACGCGGTGCTGTTCTCGGGCTTGTTCTGGACAACGAGTAGAGTCGTCTAGTCTCGTGGCTTTTCTCTGGGACTTAACCCCGCTTTCCATGTACGCGTTTTCGCGGCGTTTCTGTGTGCGTTTTAGCCGGTTACTTGGAAACAGCTCTATTTCATTTGCATTAAACTGACTTTTTCGCCGGAGAAACGCGCACGCAAATGATGCAACAATGCGCAAATGGAAAACGGGTCTTACATGTGCGATTTCTAGCCACTGCTTAAGGCTCCAACGAGATAAACCCCGTCCTCTTCCTCGCTGTCGCCTTAACGGTGATTAGACATCAACGGGCCCGCAACACTTTTATAATGGCATTTTTGTCCATTGGGGATGAGGTAATGCGCCTACCTCTTCAACGCAATTAACCATAAATCTACAGATCTTTATTCGCATCGGGTTTTATTGACAAAGCTCTTATTACGCAACGGCAAGCAGATGATGCAATTTCATCCTTTATGAGTCACAGAAAATACAAACTGACATCTCTCTTATCAAAGAAAATCAAAAACAATCATTGGCATATTATTTCTCTTTCTGATTCCTGATAACTGTTTTAGCGAAAGGATCTATTTCCTTTGATTAAATCTAACAATTTGACTAATATAGCATTTATTTTGATTTCTCGAGTCAAAGTAAATTTAGACTGAGTGGGATCAAATACCATCTTGTTTATGTGGGCGTGCGGTTTGCCATATAAACATCATGGCGGTCATCTTCACAATGTCATGTGATCCACTATGGATCAGTGAGTATGGAGCCTGTTCACCAACGAGAGAGAGAGAGAGAGAGAGAGAGGGAGAGAAATGGGGTTTTACGTCCACTCGACACAAACTATGTCATTTCGGGACTAACATAATATGGTTTAATTTTGTTTCAATAATTCGCTTGCGCGTAGGGCGTCTTTAGCCGTGGGAAGAAACCGTAGGACCCGGAGAAAACCTACGAGGTTGGACAGGCGACCCTACTCCTTGTCACGTACAACCGGGGATTCGAAACCACGCCAGTTGACTGAATGACAGGCCTTATGATACAGCACGCGCGTGCTAACCATTCGACCATCCAACCCCCCAGGTCACCAACGATCTCTGTGTGGAGGCGACAAGGTTTATGGGGGATTTTCCAGATTGTTTTTTACTTGACAGTGGTGCAGCACCGAGATCATGGTAGGGAAATGAATCTGGTATAAACTCCTTGCAGTAGCCAACATCCAAAAGTTGCCATTCGATTGTGAACAGGCGAAAACGCCACTGCCCGGGCAAAAAATTTCCCTCGTCGCACAAATTGGCTGGTTGGTGCAGAAAATTAAAACGTTAAAACAGCATTTCATTTTACCGTGTCTCCTAAATTAGTTGATCTTATGTTATATTAGAAGGGGAGAGAGAGAGAGAGAGAGAGAGAGAGAGAGACTAACATATGGTTCAATTTTATTTCCATAATTCGCTTGCGCGTAGGGGTCTTTAGCAGTGGGAGGAAACCGGATAATTATATTAGAAGGAAAAACAGTCTTCAATATTCTGCTATTAAGAATTCAGCCAAGATCGTATTACGCTGGCGACGTTTTTTAATCAAAGAGTCGGGAATCTGATCCAATCTTCTGATTTAATTTGAATAGTATGTGGTAAAGTGTATCCATAAACAATCGTTAGAGACATCTAACTCCAGCATTTAGACATTCGTTTTATTTAAAGTAGCAATATTGTTGGTAATTTATATAAAAACTACTAAGTTGAATCTGTATCTTAAGTAGCAAAATTGTTAGTAATTTATAACAAGCGGTTGCCATGCAAGATACGCCCACGTTTTCCAAGCGATGGACAGAGAATCTAACAAAAAAGGCGATTTTTTTTATACAACCAGGGGCCATAATCTATAAACAACCTGCTTCGTTTCGATTTTCACGAAATGCGAACGCAACCATCTTTATGTTGTAACGGTGATAAATCGGATAAAACGTGACCTCTAGAGTGTTTTCCACAAGCTAAAAACGTGATTTTTCGTACAATCAGGGGCCATAATCCATGAAGTTCGGGTCTGATATATATGCGCAAATATCGAAAGAAACCAAGATCGTTTGAAGATAAACCTATGTTTCAAGTTTCATCAAAATCGGATACAAATTATGGACGGACGGACGTCGGACATACAGGGGCGACGACAATATACGTCCACGTGAAAAGGGGGGCGTATAAAACCAACCACGTGGAATCAAAAACTACTATGTAATGATCATTTGTCCATCTGATTAAAATACAGATCTATATTTTTTTTTTTTTTCTTTTTTTTTTTTTTTTTATACTTTCGATGGCTTACACTACCTGAAGATATGAACCGTTGTACTGTGTGATCCTGAATAAAAATATTGTTTTAAAAAAATCACTGTTTATGGAAAATATCTTGGATCTAGAAACACAAATATTTGCAAATAGTTTCTTATTGGTGTATTGTAATTAAAATTTGGCGAACAATTTTGTGTAAATTCTTAACTTAGGTCTGCGAATGCTTTGTGAACATGGGGTCCGGTCATGATAAACATTAATTCCAAGTCGGAATCGAATCACTCTTTGTTTCCTTGGTTTCTAAGTAACCAGACCATGTATTTTGATTTGTCTAATTTCCTGGTTTCACAAAAATAAAAGAACCAAATGGATTAATTGATTTTGTCTAATGGAAATCTCATTAAACTCACTCATGTAAGGTGCCGCCTGAACTAGAATTGTGTAAAATAAAATAGGAATGATTCGTTTGAAGACGGTAACTTATTTCCTTTCGTGACTTCTGTTTTAGCCTGATCACTCTATCGATGTTTTCACTAATGCTTAAAGTAGTTAAGTCTCTAACTCAATATCATTCAAAGTCTTCTAAATTGAAAATATTTGGGACATAGAAATTGACGCAAATGGGTCGCAACGCATATAATAATAAAATATGAATGTATATAAACTGATTTACATTCAATAGTTTCCATTTTTACTCTAATTCAAATCAGTTATGTTCAGCGAAATACGCCAAAAGTCTCAATCGTTTCTGTTTCACTGTAAATTCTAATCAGTTATGTTCGGATAAATACGCCAGACGTCTCAATCGAATAGCAATCTCTAGCGTCTGGTTATTCCAGTCTACACCGATAGTATTTAATTATTGCGCATGCTCTCCAGATACGAATATGTCGTCACCATTTGACATGACTTGTGGAATATGTCTAGCTTCGTTCTTCGAGTTCCTTGTTACAAATGGCGCTGAAACGTATTATCGTGTACCAATGGTAAAATATTTAGTCCAGCTTTTCCCGGTAAGATAAAAACATCAATGTTGATTTAAATTGACAAATAATTGGTGTTTTCAACGTCGAAGACTTTGGATGATATTGAGTTAGAGGTTTAGCTACTTTAAGTAATTTCCTTTCGTGACTTCACTGTTTCAGCCTGATCGATCTATCGATGTTTTCAATTATGCTTAATGTCTTATGACATTTGAAATTCATAATTTAGCGTCGGTTCGCAGGTTTTGAAGGTTACCCAGTCTCGGTGCGTACATTGGTGGTAATGAAGCCAATTATAATGGCGAGGGATGGATTGTTTTTTTTTCTCTTTTCAGCAAACCCCAAAATACCAGACACGTTATCTTAAATTAATGTCGAAGTTATTAGAAAATAGCACATATTTTAAGTTGACGTGCGAAATTAGAAAGTTACATTTGAAATTATATACGATGGGTTTTAATAACAAAAGAAAAAAAAAAGGGGGAGACATATTAGATTAAATTAAATTACAGTAAAATTTGAATATGGAATATAGTTTTGTTAAAACAAAAAATACCAGACTTATTAATTTAACATTGTGCAAAATTTGAAAATGGAATATATAACATCCCGGTAATTTGATGTCATTTTCATACTGGGGATTCCAGTGGTCAGGGAACTGGAATCTCAACGGGAATGTGCCGGGTTCGATTCCTGACGTGGGCCGAGAGGAATCACGAGATTACTGAAGCTCAGTACTTACTTGTGAGAGGTAGTGCTAGCGGGCCTGACAAGTGTGCTGTGCGTAGTCGTTCGGATGGTGCAAAAAACCCAAACAAACCCGAGGCCTAAGTAAGTACTGGCTTAATTAATCTGGCGAAATTCCCGGGTTCGAATCCCGGCGTGGATCGAATAGAATCTCGTGATTTTTCAAGCCCAATGCTTGATTAATCTCGTGGAAGTCCCGGGTTCGAATCCCAACGTGGATCGAATAGAATCGTGAGATTAATCAAGCCCAGTACTTACTTGTAATAGGTAGTGCCCATGGGTCCGACAAGTGTGTTGTGTAGTCGTTCGGATGGGTCAAAAAACGAGACCCACCCGTTTTTACATTGACGTGCACGTAAATGAACTATTAAAAGTTGGATGAAGAGTAAGCGGAAACGCCACTGTTTGAGAAAAAGTCGGATCATTGCATATGTGACCATAGAAATCATCACCATATGTTAGTCTCAAAATACCACAAGTATTGTGTTGATGAGACGTTACACTTTATTCCTTTCCTTTCCAAATATTAAGTCAAAAAGCTTTTTCATTTGAAATATAAAGGAAACCATGATTGGAGGAATTTAATTCATTGTAGGTGACAAGGAGTAGGGTAGCCTGACCAACCTCGTGGGTTTTCTCCGGGTCCTTCGGTTTCTTCCCACCGCTAAAGCCTCCTATGTTAGTCCCGAAATGACCTAGCTTGTGTCGAGTGGACGTTAAACCCAATTTCTCTTTCTCTCCCCCCCCCCCGCCATCTCTCGTAATTATCCTAGTTAGCGCAAAAAAAGTAAAACGTTATACTCCATTTCAGCTCCGATAATCTCCGGCTTTCACTTACCATGACGATCTGTTCCAACTCTACTGGATCACTGACTCGGATATCCCAAGTAATAGGGTGATAGTTGACTAGAACCAATACTTTAGGCTGCGACGATGATCCGGAGATGTTCACCATCGTCGAAGCTGCTCGGTGATTTCCAAAGATGCTGAGTACGTGAATTTTGGATTGCCTCACCTGGGCACTCTTACAGGCAAATAGTTTCTGCTGTTTGCCGTTGATCTTTGCCACTGCCACAGACGGGGTGTTGACCATCATGTTACAGTCCTCCACGTGAGCTGTAAGAAAAATACAAACGTTTTTGTTAAAGTCATGAGCGTGATTTGAGCGACATAGGAATCCCTTGCAAACTATAATATTGTAAATGGTTAAATTCTGTTCAGGTATGATGAACTGAAAATTCCATCGTTCTATGCTGCTCTCTCTCTCTCTCTGTAGTTTTCAGCGAAATCTAATTTATGGGCCTGATTTTAATCCACTTTCAATTGAATCCAAGTCGGGAGAATATCTAATCCTACTGTCTCTATGTATCTAACGTATGTTGCTTTGAACAATGTATAGTGCTTTGAAAAATGTATGTTGCTTTGAACAATGTATGATGTGTTGAACAACCTATTGCCTATGACGCTTTGAAAAATGTATGATACTTTGAACAATGTTTAATGCGTTGAACAACCTATGCTTTGAAATATGATGTTTTGAACAACCTATGATGCTTTGAAAAATGTATGATACTTTGAACAACGTTTAATGCGTTGAACAAGGTATGATGCTTTGAAATATGATGTTTTGAACAAGGTATGATGTTTTGAACAATATATGATGTTTTAAACAATGTATGGTGTTTTAAACATTGTAAGATGTTTTAAACAATGATCATGTGCACAGGGCATTGGGAAACCATGTAGTCATCGAAGGTGTTTTAAAGTCACCAAGGATGCAGTTACTTTAAATTTCAAACAGGACTACAAACTTACGTAAGCATGTCAAAGGATCGTAATTTGGTCCTTTACAGTGACAGAAACCTTGATCACAAACAGCTTTAAATCGGAAGGCAGCATACGCCCAGCATTCATTAATGCAGGGCGTTCTAGTTACATAGGCTGGATAAACTTCTAAAATAAACAAAATCATAAACTTATTAAATTGTCAAAGATATAAAATGTATTAATGTGCTGAGTAGTTAGGCCTTTAAAAAACTTAACGTCTGACAGCGACTCTATTTCACGAATCCATTTCAGTGAAATGAAATGGGGTTTAACGTCGTACTTTGCTGCATTAACCGGGATCACGAAGACGAGCCAGGACTGTGGCACTTCCACCTACTCTTGCAACTGTCAAGTGGTTTTTTTTTTACGCGGTTTAGCGTTACACCGCCCATCACCACTGACAAGGACAAACTAGGCTGAAACATCCCGAGGACCCTTTCTCAGCCATCACCAGAATTAAATCCGGGACCTACTTGTTTGTTGCCCAGCGTCATACACATTGAGCCACGGTGGCTCTATTTCAGAGACGTTTTGGTTGATGGATGACGTCAAAATTAATCCGCCTATCAAAGTTGTGAAATCGTGATAAACAAGGACTGGCCTTTGTAACACCTGATACGAATTCTCAGTTAACAAACAACAGTGTTCTGTATACGGAGGAGCGCGGGGGCCATGTGCATGAGGCGCTGGCTTGGTAACCTTGATGTCTCGGGGTTCGATTCTAGTGTTGGCTGAGAGAGCCCGTGTACACATTGGCATGCACATAAAAAAAACTATTTCATTTCTATATACGGAAATGTCAGATCACGAATGACCAGTGCTAAACATTGAAGCATGCAAATATATCTTTTAAAATTTCTGAGAAACATCTTCTTAGCCAACAAACTGGTTCAACAACAACTCTTATAAACGAGTTGCATATTTTTTTTGGGGGAAGAAAAACATATTTTCTTAAACAGACAATTGCGTGGAGATCACGGACGTATGGTGCTAATCAACTTGTCAAACTGTTCATAACTTGACAGTCCGTTTGACAACTAGCTATTTATCTCGTGTTCTGTCTCCAATCCAGGATGTTCCATGTCAGGAGAAAACCGGAATATATCTAATAGTCTTGACAGGTTCAGGAGGTTAACATGAACAAACTGGCTCAAGTCAGGCTAGGATGTCAAACAGAGAATATTATTGAATGAAATAAACACTTGTCAAATGTATGACATGCATCTGTTTACAATTGCATGGAGTCATTTTGTCAAACAATTATGGAGAACAAATAAACCCAAGTATCCTAAAGATAAATGGACACGGCTGTCAAGGTGCCTTTTACCTGTACATGCGACCTCGATTTTTTCGTAGCGATTGTTGGCGAGATTGTATGTTAGGTTTAAGAATTTAGGGGAGAGGATAAGTCTCCACATAAGCACTGTCCTAGGATGATGAAAATTTGGTTAGGGTTGGGATTAGCGCGCTAGCCCGGTTTACATCTCGTGACCTATGACGGAAAATTGAGCTGGCCTTATCATTTAGCACTAACCGGCACTGCACTATTGACAAGGGAGGACACAGGCCAACACCGGGACGTCCTGATTATTGAGCCAACGCCTTAATCACTGGCTCTGTCCCTTACTCACTGGATCACCGTGATCCACTGGCACTGTCCATTACTCACTGGATCACCGTGATCCACTGGCACTGTCCCTACTCACTGGATCACCGTGATCCACTGTCTGTCTATTACTCACTGGATCACCGTGATCCACTGGCACCGTCCATTACTCACTGGATCACCGTGATCCACTGGCACTGTCCCTACTCACTGGGCCACTGTGATCCACTGGCTCTGTCCATTACTCACTGGATCACCGTGATCCACTGGCACTGTCCATTACTCACTGGATCACCGTGATCCACTGGTACTGTCCCTACTCACTGGGCCACTGTGATTCACTGGCTCTGTTCCTTACTCCTGGGCCACCGTGATCCACTGGCTCTGTCCCTACTCACTGGATCACCGTGATCCACTGGCACTGTCCCTTACTCACTGGATCACTGTGATTCACTGGCTCTGTCCCTACTCACTGGGCCACACTGGCACTGTCCTTACTCGTAGGCAAAGGGACAATTTAAACATGTCAGCGGTACAGGATGTGTGTGTATTTGGGGGGGGGGGGCTCACAAAGAAACGAACCCCATGTACACACTGACGTACAGTTGTATTTCGAGGAAATGAAGACTGACACAGTTGTGCGGACAAAATATCTCTCACAACAAACTGTCAGATCTTCATCCATATTTCATTTCATTTCTTATCGCATCTTTGTCAATGTTATTATATAAGGCTTGACAAGTGACTTTGTCGATTTTCCCTGTCGCGAGGTGTTTTTATGACGTCCTGGTCATAGCACAAAAATATCAATGGATGACAAATTGACAAACAGAAGTTATCTGGCTTTGTAACCATAGATCTGTACGCCATTATGATACGTGCTTGATTTATTAAATAAGCTATTGCTTTTTGGACCAAGAACTGATCTGCAAGCGTTAATTTTTCTTGAGGCTAAGCTCTTCGACAAAAAGGCATAGGCTCCACCAATTTAAGTACGCTTGACGTGACACTGCATGGGCAGTCACGTTCAAAGGAAATTGCGCATCAACTTAAGGACTTTGATATTTGATATGACGTCACAATTCCCAGATGGTCCATACATGCATATTTGACTTACCGTTCTTATATCCGCCATCTTTTAAAGATTGTTGTATTTTAATGTCGGTTATGGTAGAGTTGTGTTTAGGCTTAGCTGTCAATCTCTGTTCAAATATAAAAAACAACAACAAATGTATATATAGTTTGGACAGTAGCCGACTAGTTCTTACCATCGGAGCATCAATCACTGACTAGGTCGGTTCATTAATCATTAATTGTCTTTCGGCAGTATTTTCATCAACCCTATTGGCCCATATATTTCCCAGCGTTCACAGCCCATCAGATATTTTCCAAATGCCTATATGGACAGTCGGCCCATGATTTGTTGTCAATTACGCATTTAGGTAACAATTTATGTAATTAATGTAGGTTGGCTGTGGTTAGTGGAGCCACCAAGATGGCCGAGAGTCTGTTCAGCCTTGCATCCCACTGGAACTCAATTTGGAATACCGCCATAACTCAACTGCAAACTGTTGGCTTTTTTAAAGACAACACCATCAATACATATGCCTCACAGAAATGTTTTTAGGGGGCTGAAGATAATAGTGTCAAATAAAAGTAAGATTAAAGGGTCGAACAGATGAACCAATTACCCTGATGGGAATATACCTTTAACCTTTAAATAGCAAGCGAATGTGACGTACCTGTAGGATAGAAGCATCAGAGGTGGTTTGTTTAAATCCAACTATAACAGATACAGCTAATAATATCACCGACACAGTAAACAACGACAACGTCAGTATGACGTATTTCAACCTGTTCTTATTCGTCATCATCGTGACGTAAGTGTCCATGTGTTTCTCAGAAGCTGGTAACAGTGATCGCATGTTTGATGGTAGTGGTTCGGCTGTTATCGTATAAACATCATAATTCTCCTCAACCTTCTTGTCGGTATACTGAAATGGAAATAATATCACGTTAATACAGCATGTCCCGAAAAAACAACTTTTTTTTACTGTGCAGTAGACAGAACTGAACTGCCGTCAGGGGTGGAAAGCTACCCAGCCCCATCTCCCTCCACCATCCTCCTTCTTGACAGGTACACCGAAATGGAAATACAATCACGTTAATACAGTCTATTCTTTAGACCAGAAGTGCCGGTCCCCATAAAGTGCCGTCCGGGGTGGACCGTTACACAGGCCTCACACACGTACCTCCGACGACATTTTGGCTACAAAACTGGTAGTATCATGTATTCGTTAAGTAAAGAGTATGTCTTGTCACCTGCAATACAATCACTTATATATATTAACTATATTGGTGTTCATTTACATCAAAATACAAAACAAGAAAATGAAATTCGATTTTCCCCTCAAGGCCACGCATAAAAATAGGCATCAAACGCCTACTTTAACCATATAATTAAATTGTGTTGTTTATTTTTGTTTTGTTTTTAAATATATAGATAAAAGTCGATTTTCTACTCAAGGCTAAGTATAAATATTTTCACCACGCTCTATGCCGTGTAAACGGCATTTAGTAATTGAACACATTAAAAACAAACACAACAGTCGTATGGAAAGTAAATAATTGGAGCTACGTTCTTATGCTGGCTTCCCACTGTCGTGTAATGCGGTACAGTAAGATTGTCCCTATTGCGTCTACGATCTGTTACGTGCAGATACGTTCGGATACGTTTCGATACGATCACCACGATTGCTACGACTGAACACAATATATGATAAGACCTGATAGGATCACCACGATTACTCCACGAATAAAACCACGACTTCAATCGTAGCACGAATCGTGATAGTGGGGAATCTAGCATAAGGCAAACAATTACTGTACTTTAATTTAATCGAGGCTACACTTGGAAACGACAATCGAGTCATTGTAGAAACGTAGCCCCGATTAAAATACAGTAATTACTCTCCATAGAACTGTTGTGTTTATCCGTCCCTATCCATGGAGTCCAGATTATCGGATTATCTCTCAAATCTTCGTATTCTCCACAGACGCTATACGTATCCAATACACGATGACTAAATTCATAGATCAACTAAACACGACTCGGGGCAATCCAAAATATAGTTTCAGAATGGGCAGCGTTGCCTTTCCTATAAGTTTTTATTTTTCTTTGTGTTTTTTATGATGCACCCATTTTCATTCATTGGTCTAAGAGTTAAAAATTCAAGGCACAGATCTATTCTACCAGCCAATCAAAACATCACGGCATCCTTAAAAAATATGTTCTATGTTCTTTCAGACTTTTCACCCCAATCGCTTACACCACACAAAAGATGGTCACTTGGCACGTAGTTATATCGGGAAACGTTTTAATTTAGTGAAATGAAATAGTGTTTTACATTTCGTCATTTTGTCTCTGTTCTGACGTCTACGGCAGTGCCTTGAAGATCAACAGACTAACATAACACAATTATGTATGTAAGGATACTTGTCGAAACGGCGTACTTATATAAATAGTTAGTTTAACTTTAAACTTTACCCTGATAAAGTGTTTCTCAATCGCTAAATGTCACTTCAAGATTTCCAATTAAAGATCGCCAAATCGCCATTTTTTAAGCATGTTCACGTCACGAGAAACAATATGTAGATTTACTGTCACTTCGCAAATTGATTCCTTTCTGTTGATTCTTTATTAAGATATTATGTGTTTTATCACCGGATGTAGTCTGCTCACAAGGAGTGGATAAAAAGGAGAGAGATAATGGTGTCGCTATTGTTATGAGAGGTAAGTTAGCCTACGGGCATTATATTAAATCTATTGTACTTTTTCTTTTGTGAATGAAGAGGAGTGACTATAGCCTCAAATCATCGTGAAATTCATAACAAATGAGAGATATTGTCTAGAGGTGTCCCCCCAGGGTTGTTTGTCAGTTCGGATATCCCACATCGGGTGGTCGCAGTGGTCAGCCCGATTATATATTTGTAATAAGGTCCGCGACACAATGGTCAACAAACCTTGACCGATCCCTTGTTATTGAAGCCATTCACATTTGTAAATAGATTTGATGAACTTATTCTTTGTGGGGATTTAAGGATAATATTATAAGGAGCACCCTCAAAACAAAATAAGGTTTGGAATGGGGTTAAACAACTTATCGTTTTTGCACCAACCGGGCTAATGAAGTCCGGCTTGCGCCATGCCGTGCACCATAGGCCCACCACGCACATGGAAGCTTTAAATCCAGGGCCCTTATTCACAAAAACTTAAACTAAGATACAATCGAAATTTTAAGATATACTGCAATTCGATTGGCTGACCAGTAAAATCAATTTGCATATATCCAATGAAGTTGCAGTATTTATTAAAATTTCGGTTGTAACTTAGTTTAAGTTTTCGTGAATAAGGGTCCAGGGACAGTCGAGATAACTACACAAAAAGAAAAAAAAATATTTCAAGTTATTATGAATTACCGAGCCTCAAACAGGCGCATATTCTGGAAAATGGACCTTTATGTCCATATGATGGCTGTCATAAATTTATCGAACATTAAAAATGTGTTGCCTTTTCCTGCCCTATAGGCCGATTTGTTTTGTTAGTATTATCCCCTTCTAGGCGGTAGGAATATTGGAACGGGTATGCAGTGTGCAATGAGGGAAATGCTTGCACGGACAGTCATGCTACGGCCTACTCTTATTTCGCTTTTTAACGGCCAGGGTATCTTTAACGTGCAATCAGTGGTACGCATGCGACCTTGGGTTTTCTCCCATCCGACCGACTACACGACATTCCTTCGTCAGATTCTTCGTCCTACGCCATCGACAGGGGCAAATTAGTCTGGAAGATCCAGAGGAACTCTCTTGGCCAACACTGGGATCGAACCCGTTACTCTATGACACATTGTCCCTTGAATAAACGCATCTAAATAGTATCTCCAATTTGCAATCGCTCCTATTTTGTCTTCAACAGACTTATCTCGTTTACAAGACGGAATCGTCTAATTTCTAAGCATTAATCTTAAATTTTCAATTACTCCGAATTGCCTTTTAGAATGACTCAATTATGTTCTAACGATTCTATTGTAGACATCACCATGTTTTTATTTTCTGTAATCTAAATTTATCGGCAACTGTGCAACAAATTAGATCGTAGCGCCCCGAGGGAGTATACTATTTTCAAAGTAATTACGGATGTTCAATACCTTGAAGCATTTCTGAAAAAAACTGATGGATATTCGATATAATATTGTCTTTTACTATCTTACATGCGGAACTAGATCCCATGAGGGGCACACAAACCTAATATTTATATTGTTATGGGATATATTTCTGCCACAGTCGGATTAAGGGCTGATTTGAGGGACTTTAAATCCTTCGCAAACTACAATATTGTGGCAATTGAATCTTCCAATGGAATATCAGTCTAAGAATAGTTTCATTATGTTTACGACTTCCAAAATTAGCGGAGCTGGACAATAGAAACAAATAAATACAATTTTATGTTGTCAGTTTAAATCAACATAGAACATACTGGACAAGCGAGACCAAAAAAAAATATCACCTTTAAAGCTCATTGATGCAAACTTCGACAAAACAAAAAACATTCGGGGAAACTGCATAAAAAAATCCGGGGAAACTGCATAAAAAACAAACCCACCATTGTAACTGCACAAAAAAGACCATGAACGGTAACTGCATCAAATAAAACATCAAAACATCTAATTTAAACGTTGAAAAAAAAATGTAATGAATTGTACTGTCAAAACAGAGCTAGATATCCGCCCAATTATTCTGTCTTTTGACAAAAGATGCGTTAATTGAATATCTTATGCAAATTGCAAAAATGTTACTTACATGAGAAGCACGTTTAAACATGTCAACACATTGTACTGCGGTTTTTTTTTTTTGGTTTTTTTTTCCTAAATCCACAATCACTTTTATCAGTCTGACGTGTGGGTTTCCCCTTCTACTGAGTGAGCGCTCGCGGGATAAAATGCTTGAATGAACTTTTCTTTTTATCTTTTATTCAGCCTTGTCTCGTATTCATTAAAAATCTCTTTCATGAAGTGTAGTATACGCTTCAGTGATTACTATAAGTGACAGTATTCTGTATACACATTTCACGTCTGCGGGGCTATAGTTTGGCCACGTGATCTGAATGAATGACGTAATTTTTTGCCTTCAGCTGTATAACAAATACATGTAGTACGTACATTATTATTATTATTCTTTAGTTTATAGAAAACTAGTGAACGTAACCTTGATATTTTTTTACATGTGAAATGGTAGACGCGTATACAATACAGTTTTATAAATACTAGAGCCACTGTGTCTTAGTATTTGTTTTGTCAGCGAAATCACCTTCGGTAGAAGCGGACGTTCAACTCTACGAACAACAACAGTGGTAAGGTTTAGTTTACTCACTAATTGTACCCCATGTTCCTAAAGCAACGATACACGAGGTTTACAACATCTAACCATTGCTAGATTAGTATGAAGTTATAGGTACGTTATCTCCCTTTACAGCAGGCACGTGAACAATAGAGTTGCCCAATCAAAGGCCGTGACACAAACACACTCAAATCAAACATGACAACCTCCAAGGAAACCTTGGCATTTAACAACGATTGAACTTTGCAGCTCGATTATCACAGGTAGACATTTTAGCTGGAAAGCGTGAGACTTGGTATTCGCGATGGTATTTTCTATCCAAGAATCTGAGACGACCCCAGTTGCTTCAGTAGCCAATCGAAATTAGTGACGAAATATGCAGGGTATTGTCTGTGATGTCAACCTTGACGGAAGCGGGCGCAAAGCCGCAGAAAAAGAAGAAATGGTTCAGTGAACCCGGTGATGGTCGAGAAAGTACCCAGGATCGCCCAACCTGGTTACCCCAACCTTTCAGTGGTGTAGGACAGAAGTCATCCACATAAAACAACCCTTGGCAGTTGGAATTCGATGAAGACTGGGCGGAAACGTCAAACGCCAC